GTACTGCTGCTATAGTCAGCGGTAGTCAGTCTGTCACTCTGGCAGATGTTACCTCCCGCCAGAGTCCTGCATGGGTCAGGTTGTGTTTTCTTAACTTTAACTGATTTATTTATTTTTCTTTCTTTATTATTATTATTGTATTATTTGTTGGTCTGTACCCTTGTATATTTGATTTTTTTTTTTTGCACTTTGAGCTACCCAAATAAAGTTTATTTAATTAAGTATATTTAATTGATCCCCATAGGATTCTTCTGTTTTTGCTGTATTTCAGGTCACAGGGTCAGTGCCAGAGCAGCACCCCTGGGGCCACTAGACTCAGTAGGATATTTACTATAGTTTAAGGACCCCTTAGCAGGGTGGATGCTTTGTGACTCAGGGTCTTGATTTTCCAAGGAGTGGGCTATCTCAGTACTCCATACATCAGGTGGTTTGGATAAAAAGTGTACACAAAAAAAAAATGGTATGTCACAATATTGGAATATGTTTACCTGGAGATTGGATATCCCCACCGCTGCAATCATTCCAAACATAACGAGGAACATGCCTCCGATGACAGGGTCTGGTATTGTGATAAAAACTGCTCCAAATTTCCCAAAGATCCCCAGGACGATCATCAGAATGCCGGCCGTCTGGAGGACCAGTCTGCTGCCAACCTGGCATAAAATAACATACAAATCACGGGGGCTTGTTATCCAGTGTATACAAGATGGGTTAATCCATCATTTTCACCATACCAGCTTTATTTTTACCAGGACACTGTGTGTGGAAAAAACATGCACGTTTTAACAGGTAAACTATCAATCTCATCTGCGATGATTTGAGTTGGATGTAAACAAGAGACATCAGAGAAAGCGGCCTCAGTAAAAGAATGCTCAGGTCAAGACTGCAAAACCCATAAAACATTTAGTGGTAGCATAAGCTTTTATCTGCAGTGGGAGCTGTGCTGCTCAAAGACATGAGTACATCAAACTGACACACTGTGGCTCCGTGCTATACACTTTTTACATACTATTCTGGTAAAATACACCATAAAAATGCAAATAAATACATGCCACTTCAACTAGAACACCGTCTGTGCTCGCCAAGAGGAAGGCCTCATGATGCATGTTCAGATGTATGCAATGCTGATGGTTGCTCATACAGTTTTATCCAAATGTATTTTCTCACAGTTATTTTTATTTATAATATTAATTTATTCTTCTACGTGGACAGTTTTTGCAATTTGGCTAGAATGTAAAAATTATATTTTTGAAAACAGCAAGTAATTCAACAAGATATAGTGGCGTTTGACGTAAGAAACTGAGGTGTGAAATTCCATCAGCATACATCTCCAGTATACATAATTTAACAAAATGTCTTTCAAAGAAAAAGTGAAAAGGGTATGAGGACACTCAGCACTCACAATGGCCTGGACACACTGCCCACATGAGCAGTCATGTGCATTGCTGAACCTCTTGGTTTTTTATTTTGACGCCCCTGTTAACAGGTTAGAGCAGCCACACAGCACTCCAGTAGAGAGTAGATGTCTTGCCTATTTTTTAACGGCAACATTTCTCAGCAAAAGTAGACAGGGAAAAGGATCTGTTCATAGTCATATCAACATTATAATAGCAACCTATACACCTTTCACTGCAGTTTCAAATCCACATTTGTACAATATATCGCAGATATGAAATATATACTGTATATACATTGTCTTTAACTCAATAACTCCTGTATCTGTTTTAGATTTAAAGCTCTCGAGTGTTTATGTGGACGTAATCCATTTATTTGTTAACAAGGCTTTTATTGTATTGTATTTATCAAATATAACTCAGTGAAGCAAAAATTGAAACAGCAACTCCTGCTCCAGTTATACAATATATGATAATGATTTAAACAAACACTCAAAAACAACTGCAGCACAATCAATAAATCATCCAGAATCATAGGTTTACCCTCCCATTAAATCTATAACAAGACCATAATTAAAAAGTCAATCATTTCTGAACCCTCTTACCCTGCTCACTATCTCAGGATGTGCTACAGGCCCCTGCCCCCCCCAATACACTGAGCTTCATAGACAACCTTTTTTTATTTCTACTTATATTTGACCTGCATTTAACAAGGATGGTCTCATGAGATATACCTTTATTTTTTTCTGGCCAAAACGGCAGCACAATAATGTTAAACAAACCATTGTTTACAGAGGAAAGATGAGTTAAAAGGTCCAGTGTGTAGGATTTTGTGGCCTCAGATTGCAACCAACTGATCCGCTTCAAAGTGTGTATTATATTCCATTTCTGCTAATAGATTCTCTTAGATCTTACACACTGGACCTTTAAGTAAAACACAAAAGACAGACAATTAAACACGTTTGTTTCCAAAAAAACAAGAACTATTAGTTCTTAAATGGAACATTTCAAATTGTCTGTACTGTTTGTGGGATATGTGTATTTATGGTGTTGCTGATGCAGTGAACTGAGCTAACCTTCCATGCTGGCCTGAAAAATAATTCCACCAAGCCCTAGTCATATGATCATTGAACTGAAGGCAATGCACATTATATTATTTCCTTTAACTGAGTATCAGCTGACATTTATGTAAACATCATAACTCTAATAACTGGTATATTATTTCTTAAAACTTAAAATATTATATGGTGGATTTATACCATCAGCATAAACTCCATGTCAGGAGAAGCGCTCCCTAGCTTGCAAAGCTCTCAGCCAGCACCGACGTTATTCCCCATAAATCATCATTATCTGTAGCATCCCACAGTCCCCAGTCTGCCCGCTCAACTTGGTTAAATATAAGTGCACATCACCATGTGCAAAGTAAGTTATCATGACTACCCAAAGCTATATGTACCCTGCATGCCTCTCACTAGGCCCCTTGAAGGGTTGAGCTCACTAAAGTCCACTTGAGTTTTCATTGTGGATATACTCATAACTAAAGACTGGCAGTGGGGAATTTCTTCGGAGGGTAATGCCTGGGGGGCAGTTAATCATCAACAACATCCTTTCAGTACCTAAAGGTCTTTACTAGCCACAGGCCAGGAAGTGACAAGCATTTGTCCCAAAGATATAATAAATTGTCCCTTCTTTAACCCTCCTAAACTCATTAAACTCATTTCATTCGTAAATGTAATGTAGTGGTACGAGGCACTTATGGTGCGTTCGTTTTGTTCGTAATCGCGACTTGCAACCTCGAGAGTGACGTCACATCCGTGTTTGAAAAAAACGAGTAAGCGGGTTTTTGCGTTCTGTTTGGCACACAAACACGTAACGAGTCCGGAGAAGACGACGCCTCCAGTAAAAAGTCGCTATAGTATAGTGCGATTATCGGTTTACGGTGCACCCACCGCGGATTTCACATATTCACGATGTCCACATTACATATTACTACATCATATTTCCAGTTTGATACTGAAATTCGTTTTGATAACGTTACGCCTGGCGCCTGCTGCTTTCTGCTCAAAAAACTCGGCATTGTTGTCATACGCAAACATGGACGCCCGTCTCTAGCCAATTTCAGCTGCACAAGCTACAAAATAAGCTAATGAGGCGTATTTAAACATACTAAAGACTGGAGCGACAATGCCATAGTACAGTATACAGTGTATGTGAACGACTTCTTCATTTGGATTACAACACAAAGCACAAGTGCTTAAAATAGGTAGAAAACCCACAATGTTTACTAAGCGTGGGTGAATACTGGGAAAGTAGCCATCTGGTAACTGAACTCGGGGTCCTCTGAGTAGTCCGAACTTCAAACCGAAGTCTTTTTTGCAACTTCCGTTCCGTAACTAAGGGAAACCGACTTTCCGGAAATCGAGTTCCGTTGGACCCCAAATCGAACCGGCGGCAGTAGTACGCGATCCAACGTCCGGAGTCTGGCTTCCCAGCTGTTCCATCCCTGGGCTTATCAGCCAATCATGGTTTTCAATAAAGCCGAAAGGGGAATAAAAGTAGGCTGGTCGCCTTCCTCCCTGCCCTCTCCGCTCCTGCCTCTTCGGCCTTCCGCTTGCCGGTCGTTGCGTTTGCCGCTCACCTCCACCGCAGCAGGTAGGCGCACTTAGGCCGTGCATGTAAGCGTTAATTGTTTTTGTCCTGCGGCTTCATTTTAGCTCGCACCGGTAAACGTAAAACTCCTTAAAAAATAA